TCCTCAACAGCAACCCAGTTTTTGGTAGCAAGAGTCGCTTTAAAACAAGTGTGGAGCCCCTCTAGGCCCTGCTGAACAGAACACTGATCTTTTCAGTGGCCTGAGAGTTCATGGTAATCCCCTCCCCCTAATAACCCTCCCAACTCCCCTAAGAATAAACCCCCCAATATGATTCCATCTTGTATTGGAGTTAGAGAATATGTATTACTATGGGAGTGGGGGGGAGTTATTGTCAGGGGGAGGCGATTATTTGGAGGGTCTAGACAAGGTCCAAGTAGAGCCGCAGAGTCAACCTCCAAAGCCTTCTTGCTGCGCACGAAGAGGAGCTCCGTGCCGATGTGGAGGCAAGCAAACGGGGAATAGGGTTGAGGATTTAGGAATTTAGATGGGAATTTAGGGCTTATAGTTTAGGATTGAGAGTCTAGGGTTTAGGGCTTGGCGTCTGCAATTACTTAAGGACCCGAGCTGACCCGCTGCCTACAGCAGCGGAAAATGTTTGATTGAGAGTACCCATAGCGGAAAATGATTGATAGAATACTCATAAAAGGAAGCCCGATGAATAATGAACACATAAGACCGCACGTGGCAACAACAGCCAGCCTCAAGATTTGGATCTCTGCCCCAGGTCTACACGTTCCGAGCCGCCGCGCAGACAGCCAAAGAGAGACAAATGGTTCGAAGTCTCGGGAGATGTTTGATCGCGCGGCCCCCCAGCCGGCCCGGTCTTTCTGCCTCATTTATCTCTCTTGGGCTGTCTGCGCGGCGGCTCCGGGGAGCGCATAAATCCGCATAGACAGACACGGCCAATCTATAAATTCTGAAGGATGTTGGTTCTCCGTCCCGGGTCTATGCGCTCCATCGAGCAGCCGCACAGACTGCCGAAGAGAGATAACCCACGCGGAAGACCGCTCCGGAAGCAAGGGTTGAGCGCCCAAAATCTCTGAGATTTTTTGGTCGCGCCGCCTGCACCAAAAATCTCGAAAGATTTTAGGGCCTCTAGCAAAATCTCCGAAATGTTAAAGCCCCTAGGAACCCCGCAAGGGGCATTTCAGATGTGAGCCGGAAAAGCTAGGCCGTGCGCGAGCGAAATGGCCGCAAGTGGCCGCGCCTATTAATGGCCTAACGAGAAACCCGATGAACAATGAACAACATAGGCTCGCACGTGAAGCCCGACGAACAATCAGCATATAAGACCACACGTGACAACAACCAAGAACCTGAAGATGTTGATCTCTGCCCTGGGTCTACACGTTCCACCGAGCCGCCGCGTAGACAGCCAAAGAGAGATAAATCGTTCGAAATCTCGGGAGATGTTTGGTCGCGCGGCCCCCCGCCGGCCCGGTCTTTCCGCCTCATTTATCTCTCTTGGTCTATCTGCGCGGCGGCTCGGGGGAGCAATAAGACCCGCGTTCACAGATACGGCCAACCTATGAATTCTGAAAGATTTTGTTCTCCGTCCCGGGTCTATGCGCGCCGCCGAGAAGCCGCACAGGCAGCCAAAGAGAGATGAATCACGCGGAAGACCGCTCCGAAAGCAAGGGCTGCGCGACCAAAAATCTCAGATTTTTGGTCGCGCCGCCCGCACCAAAAATCTCCGAGATTTTAGAGCCTCTAATTTTTCCGAAGGGCTCCAAAATCTCCAAGATTCCAGAGCCGCTAGGGAGGCCGCAGGAGGCGTTTTAGAGGTGAGCCGGAAAAGCTAGGCCGCGCGCGAGCGAAATGGCCGCAAGTGGCCGCGCCGTATTATTGAGGTATTCGTGCTTCGGGCTTTGAATTCGGCATGTTGGGGTGCCAAATCTGGATGAGCGCCTCGTTGTTCAGCCCTCCTTGGCCCAGACCCCGCGAACCCAGCCCGGGAGCTCGCAGATGCTATACTCTTGGACCAAACCCTTGACACTGTAAAGCTTTACATAGTCAGTTATCATGCCATACCTAAAGGAAATAACCAAATCATTCTTAAACAAACTTAAGGTTTCAAGCTTTTGGTCTACTGTCTAGCTGCTAGCTACCCTACTGGCCCTCGACTTTAAAAACTCCCACCTCACCCAGCCAGAAACCCTTAAGCTCTCCTGAGAACCCTTAAGGCAACCAGAGCCCTGAACCCTCAGGGTTTAGGGTAAGCTCCAAAGTCTTCAAACCCACACCGTATAGTTCCCCGTTAAGTAGATAGAACATGGGTTATAGGGAGATCTTATTTTGATACTGGGGATTTGTTTCAGTGTCTATTTAAGGGGGACTATAATAAACTCCAAGCCTTAAACCCTGAAATCCAAAGCCGTTTACTACGCCGAACATCTTAGCCAATTCGACAGCGCGATAGGCTTTTCGAATTCATGCAGTTGGAAAAGATGCGCTGCAAAAAACTCTCCGAACCTCTACATCCAAAAGATGCTCAAAAGGCTGAAGTATCCACTCCGGGAATTCTACAGCTTTACTGTCCTTCTATGGATTAAGGATGTTGTTTTGCACCACCTGTATGGCCTTATGGCAATTACGGTCCTTCGGAGCAAATAAGGGGAGGTTTAGGGTAAGTGAACCCAATTATATGTATATCATGCATTGCAAGTACCCCGTTCTAACCCTGTAATATGTAAAACCCATAAACGCGCTATAGTCTATACCCCTAGTATCCCTGTAATAACCCCTCTGATACTCCCCTATAGAATCCCCCATATATCCCCCTTGGAGGAGCTTTTTTAAATTATGACTCATGTAAACCTTATAAAAGTACCTTGAACCTCCAAAGTGGCATCCCTAGGTACTCCGGCTCGCTCGAGGAGCTGGTGGCTATGCTGGGCAGGGAGGGAGCTTCCAAAACCCGGAAGAATGTCGGGATTTACATGAGCTATAGTCTGAACTCCTTAGAATGGGTTATTTAAGGCAGTAGTGTATAAGGGAGTATTAGAGGGGTTATTTAGGGGAATACTAGGTGTATAGACTATAACTCATATAAGGGCTACTTTCCCCCAAACAAACATAGAAACCCACATAGCCGAGATGGTGTTACTGGTGCTTCACACGGCGTGGAGGAGGGAAGCTGAAAGCATCTCCCCAATGAGCTGCTCCTTGTGTTGCAGGGCACCTGGGTCGAATACGTTGCTTGACTGCAGTGACCTGTGAACGAATCTCTTCCCGCTGATGACAAAACGCTCCCCCTCATAGTAAATTGACCCGGGTTCATTGCGGGGCAGTATATATGCATGTAGGATTCACCAACTGAATTCCCATTACAAACTTTATTTGTTAATTAGATGTCCTACTTATTTCCAACTGACGATAAGCTGGTCTTGTCGAAGTTGCATTCTTGGCGCAAACACTGCTGTTCAGGTCGACCCGGATTCTAAAAGGATCTGGCTCCACAATGAGGCAGCTTGCAATTTGATTTGTTGTTCAGAGATTTGCAGACTTTCTGGGTACGTATCATACAGTCATACCCTTGTATTATATCATGACACCATTTCAGAAACCTCTAACCTCCTTTTAACCCCCTATATAACTCTTGTAATGACACCATTCCAGAAACCTCTAACCCCCCTTTAAACCTTATATAGCTCCTGTAATGACACCATTCCAGAAACCTCTAACCCCTCTTTAACCCCCCACATAACTCCAGTAATGGAGCGGCGCGGAGGCGACTGCCGAGACGCGGTGGAAGGCCGGCAGGGGTCATTAGCTAACCAGGGAAAGTAATAGCAGCATGATGGTAACAACATTAGGGTTTTATTAATAGTAATAATAATAATAACAGGAATAATTGCAATATGATAGAGTGCTAAAAATCTTCATTCAACCAGGATGGTTGTGAGTACAACGCAGGACCGCCTACATGGAGGGTCAGGAGGACTTAGTAACTAGGTTAATAATGGGGATACCTAGGCTTACTATACGGGTTCTAAGGGTTATGAACCTACTTACTAAGCCCCCCTGACCCTCCAAGTAGAGACCATGGAGGCCAGCGTCGTTTCTTTAAGATTTTCACTGGTGCCAGGGATGCGAGTTTAGCCTAAACCCCAAACCTTAAACCCCAAATCCTAAACCCTAAACCCCAAATCCCCAGAGTTGGGGGCCCCGCGGTCTCCGCCAGCCGCGAGGGCCGGGGGCCCAGCGGTCTCCGCCATCTGTGCGGGTTTAGGGTTTAGCGAAGGCTCCGGGTGGACGACCTACAGGCGTATGCCCCTTCTTGGGGGTCTTTTATTTGGGGATATTATGGTACCCATTAAAGAGTAAGATTCTATCCTCCTCTTGGGGTATAGTATTTTATATAAGGAACATAATCTTACTAGCATCAACCACCAAAAAAACGCTACTCAGGGGGACTTAGTAAGTCAAGCAATAACGAGCACGCCTAGAATTATTCTGGTTTAGAGTTTAGGATTTAGAGCTTAGGGCTTGGAGGGTCATCGGCAAACAGGCATTTTTTTATGTGGGATAGCTACTGTATGTAAGCGCCCATGATCCTTCCAAGTATCCCTTGTTTGCGGGTGCGGCATGTCGTGAATTGGACAGTCTATGTACTTGCCTGTCGCAACAGGGAGGTCGACAATGTGTGGGGGTCCTACACCTTACATCTTGAGATTGTTGGTGGGTAATTGTTGAAATTGCGCGGCACATCTCCTGAAGCCCGAACTCCGGATGGCAACCTGGGGTTTAGAGGGTAAGGCTTAGGATGAAAAAGGTCAGGAAATTACGGATTGTGTCGGCTATGCAGTTTCTTATTTCAATTAATTTCAGCAGTTGTAGCTGAGGCATATGTGTCCTTTTTCTGGTGTGTTCATGGCTTCAAGATATGGAGGTTTCCCACAGTGGGAGTATGTTGGGGAGTCCCTAAAAAGGCTTATGCTGTTTGGGGGTCTATATTGGGATCCTATATTTGGGGAATATTGCCACATCTCCATGTGTGTTGTGTGGATCAACTGCGCAGAACTAGCATCTTGCAAGGAAATATACTCTCGGGTCTAGCAGAACTCGTATGCTCATGCAGATGGCTCGGATGATACGTCCTCAAGGTCAGAAAAGGACTCCATGCAGAGGTGTAGACCAGTAAATCCTGGGCCATCACCACATCTCAGGCCACAAACCTCAAACTCAAATTCTGAACTCCCCAAAACCTGCTTGCTAAACCCAAGAGCCCTTAGCGCCGCGGAGGCCAGCTGATATCCGCAAAAGCCGAGAAGCTTGCTGGGAGTTTGAGAAAAGTGCGCGTTTCCGGGGCATTTGTTGGTCAAAGTCCTGTGGGCCCAAATATGGAATCTTGGTTTAGGGTTTAGGTTTGGAATCTTCAACCTGAACATATATCCATTGAGGCTTCGCGCGGGCCAGTCAATGGTGCATGTTGAAGAGAATGTCTACCTGGTGAATGACAGAAGTTTCGGATTTGTGTCGATATGCACCGGTCAACGTGAACCCTAGTCTACACTCGTTAAAGGTGGTTATATAAGGGAATATAGAGGGGACTACTATAGGGATTACTAAGTGGGATACTAGGAGTTAAGACTGTAGCTCATGCTAAATATCAAAGGTTGAAGATGAATAGGGCCGTGACAGGTTTAGGTTATAGGGTTTAGGGTACAGGGTTTAGGGTGTAAGGTATAGGGTATAGGGTTTAGGGTTCCTCTACCGTGTCAGGATACTAGTGGATATGGCCATCGGTATGCATTGTTTCAGACAACCTTGCTTGCGAAGACAAATGAGCTAGAGTCTAAACTCCTTCAAGGGAGTTATATAGGATGTTATATAGGGGACTATTATAGGGGTTATTAAGGGGGGTTCTAGGAGTTTAGACTACAGCTCAAATAGTGAAATTGATGAACATAGCTTCAGGCTCGGCAGGCAAGATTGGCCTACACTCCCGGAAACTAACATGGAAACCCAAAAAGGGCCCTATAAAGACTACAGTCCTTTAAAACCCGTGCTATATGGGTTTCCATGTTAGTTTGGGGGAGTGTAGCATGTTCGGTGTTCAGTAGTTGTTCCGTTCACCTTAGTTGGGACTGCGGAAAGGGGTCTCCATGATCCATGATCTGTTTATGGTGTTATTTCCGGCTGTGTCACAGGCTTACTCTGGGACGGGCTGGATGACAGTTCTGGATGTCTCAGTTTGCATCACCGTCGCGATCAAGGCATGTACCTACCCTCCTCAAAAGTAACATCCGGACAGGGGAACTCTCCAAGGGGTGCTACAAGACGGGACGCAACAAGAACAATTGGTTCGAAAAGGCGGTTCATTGATTGCAGGCTCCGCAACCGTGTGCAATTTGGAAATAAATCCCAAACCAAGCGAAGTTACCCTAATTTCCCTACTTGCGTGCATCGCATGCTGGAGATTTAGCAAGTAACTTGATAAATTTCTCCACTGCGATCTGAAGCCCTGACTGCTAAAGGATGATCATACATTAGGAGGACCCCCCACCCTGTAATAGTGATTCTATAGGAGTATAAGAGGACCTTAATATAGTCCTTGTTATCCCTTCTAGTCACTATTACAAGGTGGGGGGGGTCCTCTTAAATTATACACCTTGAGACAACTGAGCGGAGATCCACCAACCCCCGATCTGACAGGCTCCAACTTCCCCTATGCCACGGACATCGTTCGAAAGCTCAACGAGGCCTGGGAAAGTTTCCGACATTAGATTCCCCATCAAAAAAACTTTGAAAATATGCTGCCCAGAAATTGAATTGCTCGGCCTTATGCCTTGAACCTTACATTCAAATTCATGTTCCGAGCACTCCGAATCATCCGTCAAGACATGTCGCAAGTCGTTCGTGCTTGTGAACTGGATAGCTGCCAGCGCACAGGAGAAGCAATTTTGACAGGGATGTTTTTCCTTCCAATATGGAACACTGTCAAATTCTCATTTTGCTTGTAGTATGTCACTGCAAGAACATGCTTTCACGCTTTCCAGCTACCAAAAATGGCACTTCTGACATATGATTATGACACCATGCAACTCGAGAGAAGAACCAAGAGTCTAGGGTTGATGGTTTAGGTCTGTAAGCCAAGGCTGGAGAATGAGCTGCCACCAAGTCTTCATAGATGCTGTCTAGCTAAATTCCGAACCTGAAGGTCTGATTGAAGCATAACAGCGGAGTAAGTCCGACCTGGGTAGGGCTGTGGGGCATTCCAGATGTTTCCTTGCCGGAGTTCTTGCTGGTCAGCATGTTTTGTCGAAAAATCGGCCTTATGACAAGCTTAGGACAGTCGAGGAGACCTGGTTCCATGGTTTTGGGCTGGTAAGAATCGTAATAGTAGTAATCGTCTTACGAGTCGTACTAGTAATAATGATCATAATCGCAGTAATCTTATACATAGTAGTAATAATCGTAACTGTAATAATACCGGGCTCGACGTGGAGGAGCCCTTTGCTTCCCTACTCGTGTCGTCTCAGATGAGTTTCTTGCGGCATTCTAAGCAGCTTCCATCCATTCTCCAAATTTAGGCTTCAGGGCTTAGGGTTACAGTCCCCCTCAAGTAGATAGAATATGGCTTTGGGTATATCATAATAAGATCCCCATATACCCCATATTCTATCTACTTAAGGGGGACTGTAACCCCAATATATACCCCGTTATAATATGGTAGTTTCCATTTTCTTTTCCATTATCCCCATATAACCCCAATATAACCGCAATATAACCCTAATATAATCCTAATATAATCCTAATATAACCCACCCTGGTGTAGGAAGTTCTTGCCATGCTCCAAGTTGAGGCCTCCCAGGGCTCTTCTTAACACCCCTAAAGCCCACCCAGGAAAGCCCTAAGGGAACATTGGAATGTAATCCCTATGTGAGCCATAGTCTAAACTCCTTAAAGGGGGTTATATAGGGGATTATATTGGGGAGTATTATAGGGGTTATTAAGGGGGATACTAGGAGTTTAGACAGTGGCGCATGTAATCCATACATAGTATATTCCCGTATTTTCTACTAACATCGGTAAGTCCTGGAATTCTCTGCGCCCTGCTTCCATGACAAATCCACGCAGGCACCTCTGGAATTGCTGACTCGGGACGAGGCGGCCTGGGGAGATTCAGCATGGAGTCAATATTTTCGTTTTGAC